AAGCATTGGACTCTTAACTGCTCAAACTCACCAACCGTTCCTCAGAAACCGTATCTATGCAGGGTAATGATGAGTCAGAACCAACTGAGCAGCACTTCACAACAACAACAATAATCCTGGAAGGCACACTCTAAATAGAAATGTACTGTTGTTGTTAAGTGCCATTGAGTCAGTTATAACTCATAGCAACCCTGCATAGGGCTTCCAAGGAGCAGCTGGTGGGTTTGAACTGCTGACCTTGTGGTTCACAGTCCAGTGCAGATACTACAGCGCCACACCAGGAGTCCAGAAATGTATTGAGAGCTCCACATTCGCAAGATATTTAAATGCATTTTGAAAATAATAAAAGTTATTCTCCTGGGGTCCATCAGTAATGTATTATTGTTAGTTACCTTTGAATTGTTCCAAAGCATGGAGTCCCCATATGTGCAGAGTAGAACTGCTCCACAGCATGTTCAAGGCTGTGAACTTTCGAGCTTGTCTTCCAAGCTGTCTCTGGTTGGGCTCAAACCTACAACCCTTCAGCTAGTAGTCAAGCACTTAACCATTTGAGCTACCACGGACTCCCCCATCAGTAATGAGAGGAGATAAATAAAGATGTGACCAAGGGTACATAACTGTCACCACTGAGGGTAGTGAGGATGGTACATAAAGGGTTAATGTCCAAACCAAGAACCTAAAATTATTCTTTTAAAAAAATTAAGTAGTGTTTAAGCAAGACACATTGGGGATCAAAAAATCTTCAATCACTGCCAGTACCCACTGCTCATAGAGGTTATCCTCACAGAACAAGTAATGAAGAATGAAAAGGTAGGAGCTAGGAAATTTAACACACATTTAGCAATCAAGATGCGCATCCTTCAAAAGGCAAGCACTGAATGTTGTTATACCCAAGTCTTTCAAAGAGCACTTTAACAAACAATAGAGAAAGTGGTTACATTGTGAAAATTACCCATGTAATCTTACAAAAGGATTGAGAGGAAAAGAATAAGAAAACAAACACAAACTAATGTTATGCAAATGAGTACTTGAAGATAAAATTTTGAATGACATCATGGATTTAAAAATTGCTACATCTCAAGCAACCTAGATGAAAATGAAGATGAAGTATTTGGAGAATGCGATAAATGATCAAAAGTGATTCTGGTGATAATGTAGTATGCTGGCACTAACTACACATGGAAAGAATTTGAATAAAATGATATAAAGTATGTGACTAGGCAAATAAAATATTTTACAGATTTTTAAATATAAATGTATAACTATAGTTATAAAGTTATGTTATATATATATATATATACTTGACTATTACATCTGTGTCACTTAAAGTTTATATATAGAAATGGGTCAATATGTCAGGTTGCCTTCTATTTGAATAAGTAGCAAAATTTCTTTTTATACAGGAAAACAGTTACAAAATTTGAATAAGTAGCAAAAAAATTTTATACAGTAAAACAGTTATACAATCAAGTATCTATGAATGTTCAGTAATACGCAATTACAATGTGCTCCATGGTTCTGTTTGCACTGAGTATGCACAGAAACAGGAGCAAAAGTGGCAAAAACATGAAGCCCATCACACAGCACAAAAGGCTCTCTTCATCACCTCTTCCAACATTCAAGCCTCAATCACCTATTTCCAAAGAATCTATTCTCTGGTAGGCTACCCAGAGTCCTCCATCAGGAGAATCCTCCAGGGTCTTTTAAATGCATCTAGATAGATACCACAGTGCTGTTCAAGGCACAGCAGAGGGATCCACAAACATTTGCAAAAGGGACAGGAAGTCTTAGGGAGGCAAAGAAAAGAAACCACTTGTCTCTGTCCTGTGTGATGGTACACTAATCACTACAGGAAGGTGCCGACCTCAGCGCAGGGAGCATCATATAACACCTATCAGACTGCAGTCTTTTCCAAAAACATTCCCATACAATAGTTTCTTTTCATTTACCTAAAGGTGGAAAATAGAAACTGAACACCTAAAAAATGTCTGATTGGTAACTGTTCAACTATAAATTTATAAGGAATAAAATTTATTGGTGAAGGACAAAGGGCAAACCTAAAAAAAATTAAATTATGCTTTTCGGCTAATTTATAGACAGCATTTCCTATAAAAATAATTTTCTAGAATGTATCTTTCGATTTATAATATGGACAACAGTGTATATAAAACAAAGATATAAATAATGTATTTCTTTTTACATTTTTATTGTGACTTGAGTGATTGTTTACATGGGAGAACATCAGTTTTATACTCATCCTATCGTATTTCGTTTCATTGCAATGATTACAATCCCCTCCATGCATCATCATTCAACAGCATTTGCTTCTAATCCCTCTGTTTGTTTTCCTTTTTGGATGCACACCAAAACACTCAAGAATATGCAATCATTCAAACACTCAAAGGGCATACCCTGCAAACCTGCCCCACCAGCTGGCCAGCACACAGCCCCTCTTCCTCTATGAGTCTAGAGTCTAGAGTCTCCAGCAGCTCAATCTCTCCAAGTCATCATCATTTCTGCCTCCATCTCTGGCATCCCTGCTTCTCTGAACAGGGTCCCACACTCCGCTCCTACTCTTCTCCCTTTATGGCCCCAGGGTCCTCCACTCCTGGATGGCAAAATCAACCACTTTCCTCTTTTTGCTACCAAACGTCTACCGTGACAGTTGGAACAATTGCAATCAGTCATAATAACAATTACTCACTATTGAGCCACAAGAGTCTTATCCCCATCTCCTTTCACCAGCCTAGACAGCCTGAAAACCACTCAGTGGAGAGTCTACCTTCCCCTGCGTCCTCTGAAATGAAACTCCTTCTCTGTTTTAGTTTTTTTAAATGTTTCATTGTGAATTATGTGATAGTTAACATGGAAGCAGAGCACATTAGCTTTTCATCCTATGGTATATTGTTTCTCTGCCATGGTTACAATCCTCTGCATGCATCATCAATCAACCAAAGGGTATACCCTGCAAGCCTGCCCCTGGTCCTCAGCACACAGTCCCTCTCCCTCTCTGGGTCTAGAGTCCCCAGCCGCTCCATCTCTCCATGTCATCGTCTTTGCCTCTATCTCTGGCGTCACTGCTTCTCTAAGTAGGGTCCCGCTCTCTGTTCATCTCCCTTGATGGTCCCAGGGACCTCTGCTCCTAGACTGCAAAATTAATTATTCCCCTCCTTTTGCTACAAAATATCTACCTTTACATTTCCAACCCTCACAATGAGTCCTGATAACAACTATTCACTATTGTATCACAAGAGACCTATCCACACCTCCTTTCATCAGCCCCACCTAGACAGATTGGATACTATTCAGTGGCTAAACTCCTTCTTGAAAACTTATAAGCCAATCAGTTAGTGTCTTTATAGCCCTACTTCACCGCCAACATCAATTTTAGGTAGCCAATGTCTAATTTGCCCATCCCTATGAGCCCTGTGTATAGAGGGGATGGGAATGATCCTTGCTGTGAAGATTCCTTCCCTCTTGGTTGGAATTTTAAGCTACTACACCCATAAGTATAAGGAGCTCTGGTAGCGTAGTGGTTACGAATCGGGCTGCGAACCTTAAGGTCAGCGGTTCGAAACTACCATCTGCTCCGCGGGAGAAAGATGAGGCTTTCTACTCCCGTAAGGATTTACACCCTCGGAAACCCTGTACAGGGTCGCTATGGGTCGGAACCGACTCGAAGGCACTTAACAACAACAACAACACCCATAAGTATAGGTCATGTTCATCAAATTGTACCAAATTATACTTATTTTCTTTATTTAAATAATGTACTTTTAATTAAACCAATTTTGCCTTGACTTTCCATGACGCACACATACTATGTAATAAATAAGTGTAGCATCTAAGAAAATATTTTTTTAAAAAGGCAAATGAGCTCTTCCTTGAAATAATTAAAAGAAAAATGTCCCTAAAAAGGCAGGACAACTGTAATACACTGAATCCAATGAGAAGTAGTGTAATATCACAGAAAATATCAGAATATAATAACCTATTGCATATTACTTTCACAAGTATAGGACAGAGTGAGAGAAAAATGTGGAATAAAACTAAAAATCACAGAAGAAATCCAGGCTTACTGGTGGAAGCCCCAAGACTATGAACTTGAGATATCCTACAGGCCTGGAACTGAACTCACCCCCCTTGTCTCAACTTTCAGCCAAGTAACAGATAGGCCTATAAGGTGAACAACACAACAAGGAGTTACACACTCATTAGAACAAATATCCATGATCAAAAGGGCAGCAGTTGCCTGGTGATAAAGTTCAACAGACAGGAAGGGAAAGGAAAGAAGAACCAATAGAAAAGTTAAGCACAGGGAGGAAGTGAAAAGCAGGCTACTGCACTATGAGTATTTCAGTTCATGTCACGGATCAGAACTGTTGAATGGAGTATCAATTTGTTCTTAAACTTTCATCCAAAGTAACAATAGATAGTTACGAAAATATCAGCTGATACTTACCAAGGGTTCATATTTATGCTACACACCGTAAATTACAGCTTCAAAAGAATAATTACATGTAGTCCCTGGGTTATAAATATCGCACATATGTCTAATCTACATTCCACAGATGTCCAACTTTCATCCCATTATGAACTAACACCAACTCCCATAAAGCCTATTATATTAAAACTGTGAGGTACACTCAAAGCTTTCTAATAACAAGTGGGTGCTACATTTCAACTGATGCAATGAAACATTATTACTGTATTATATTAAAGATGCTTTAGTGTGCCTATGTTTCCGTAATGGTTTTTATGCATAGAAATGTTCACTGTATACTATATTTGACTAGCTGACGTAATATATGTACCATGCCTAACTACTCTGACTAAAGCACAAGTTCAATTTAAAGACAAATTTAATACTCCAACTCATTCCTAATCCCAGAGATAAAAAGACTCATTAAATTTTGTTTGTTTTTGAAAGTTACATGATGAGGGAGGGGTTGGGGAAGGAAGGGAAGGAAGCGTGTGGAGAACCTGCTGGAATCCCTTACCGTGTTTTCTGGGCTATAGCCACGCTGCTGTGTCTCTTGGGCATATAAACTCATCAGAGCTCTAGCTTCTTGAGGTTCAGCTGGTTCACTGTCATGTAACCACTCGGTGCCAAAGTGAAGATCCTCGACCGGGGGAACAATGGGAGTGGCCTCTTGACTATGCGATGTGGACAAGAGCTCCATGGACTGCAAGCGATTTTGATAAAGCTCATACTCTTCATCAACAAGCATTTCTCTTTCTTCCCCCATTTCCTGCATTCTAGAAGGCAGAAGGTCTTGCATTTCCCAGGCTTCCTTGCTGTTGTCAATTTCTTTGTGTTGGGACTGAAAAGATTTTCCCAAATCTAGACATGGTTCATCCACAAATTCTTCTTTAAAATATGGTTCATCTCTAAATCCCTGCAAATAAAAATTGCAAAAAAAAAAAAAAAAAAATTAAGCTACACCTGACTCAAAGCTGCAATATACACATTAAAGGGAAAATGAAAACATTATCATACTGCAGTACCCTAACTTCATATGATGATGATGTTTAACATAAACAACTTTCTGTTACAAATGAGAAGAAATGTGTGAGTGCACTTCCACACAATCTTCAACTCTAGAAATGGACAAATAGCAAAGTAAGGCAGAAATTGCCTTTGGCAAGGTAAATAAATGATTCTTCTAAAAGGCTCATTATGTATTAACCATGTGAAAATTCTTGATCTGAAGTAGGAATTTTGTTAAACAGCTACAGTGAATATTTAACTCATGCATCTAATAAAGAAAGAAAATAAATCCAGGTGCACATCATAGTAAAACTTAAGAAAGTAAACACTTAAAAAGGTAAGAATTTTAAATTTAAGTAACTCCAAAGAAATTATGACTATTCACAAGCTCTATAAACTAAAGATACAAGAAGTGTGCCCAACTACTTTACTTTGAGTATTAGAAGTTGTTTATAATATACTCATATAATAAATAAGATTGTTTCACCTAAGATTGAAAATATGCAACCAAAAGGAATGAATATAGATTTTTCAAATGAATTACATTTTACTAATAAGAACACAAATACCTGTAACTGTAATTACATAATCATACATGTGCAGCAGCTTATTTTGAGTTCTAGGAAAGTCACTGTTTCAATACGAGGGAAGCTGTGGGCCCTGGGAGCACAGTAAGGAATTGTTATTGTTAATTACCATCCAGCTGATTCTGTGTCATGGTGACAAAACATGTGCTGATTAGAACTGCTCCAGAGAGTTCCTATTGTTGTGACTTTTCAGAAACAGACTGCCAGGTTTGTCTTCTGAGGAGCCTCTGATTGGGTTCAGACTGCAAACTTTCACCTATTAACCAAGTGCTTAACCATTGGTGCCACCCAGTAAATTCTTACAATGAATCTATTTCTCCCCATTCTTTACTTATGGTAAAACATTATTGGGCACAAACTTTTAAAATTAATGTTGCTGTTAAGTGCCATTGAGTAGTAGCAACACTGTATAGGGCTTCCAATGAGTGGTTTGTGAGTTTGAGTGTCAGACCTTGTGGCTAGCAGTCCAATGCTTATTCTCACCAGGACTCCTCAAAATTAATACAGAATACCAAATGTAACCTCGTAATTTCAGTTAGATAGTACATATGTACATGTCATATAACTGTGAAATTTCAACAAAAATGTCTATAGCAAAAAAGCATAATGGACATTATACAAATACATGTATCAACTTAAGACACTGTTAACATGTTATATAAAAAATATTTGTTGTTGTTAGGTAATAAAAAATATTATCAGGATAATATCCTACTGCAAAGAGCAGCATAAAAACCATTCACATTAAGAACAAAAAGGAAATGTTTCCAAATATGCTTTCTAAATTCAAAGCACAAATTAGGGTTTTCCTAAATAATTCTTTTGTGTCTTTCATAGAAGTAATGTGATACAAAGGGTAAAGGGTTCCTTAAAAATGAATAAATAAGGAAAAAAGGGGAAGAACTAACTATTGAACCAAGGCAGTGAAGACAAACTTTTATCTTCTTTACACCAACTTTAGATTAAAGGAAAAGTATACAAATACTAAATAAATTTACCAAATACCTTAGGTGCTTCAAGTATACAATATGAATCTGCATCATGATTTGTTCCTGAAAGGGCCATCTCATATCCATTATTACTTGGATATAAAGTATATTGACTTTCTTCTTCTTTGTCATCTTCCTGAATAAAGAAAAGAAATTTAAAATCAAGAGTAGTTTCAAACTGTCTTCAGAGGCATTCTCATCTTTACACTAAGTATAAATAGACAACAGAATTTATATAAACTGTCTCATTGTACAAACTTCTCTAAAGTTAAAAAAAGATAGATTCAGACTAGAGTTTCTCAAACTTTATCATCATTGTTGGTGTTTTTAAGTATTCCATAAAAGGAAAATAAATCTCTTTACTAGGAATAAATCTTAATATTAAAACACATAAAAGCATGTACCCAAAACTCAAATTCTGACTCATAGAAACCTGCAGGATAGAGTAGAATTGCCCCATAGGATTCCAAACACTGTAAACCTTCATGGAAGCAGACTGCCACATCTTTTTTGTGCATAGCGGCTGCTGGCTCAAATTCCCAACCATTTTAAGCAGCTGAGTGTATTAGCCACTGTGCCACAGGATTCCTTACCCATACATGCTTAAACATATATGAAAGGGCTTCAAAAAAGTTTTTGGAAAAATGAAATTAAAAAATAATGAGGGAGAACAAGCAAGATGGCAGATCAGGTAGATGTGCAGTGAGGAGCTTCATCAGCAACAAAACACAATATCAGACCAAGCAGGCTCAGGGGATGGTGCCAGAACACTAAACCACATATGAAGGAATATTGAGAATGTTGAAAGGCTTACAGCCAGTGGAATTTGTAGAAGAAGGAATAAATTCAGTGCGTTCTATTCCAAGGTCTCAGCTGCTACCTGAGCAGCCATCTTGGGTGAGACTTAATGGGGGAACGATCAGAGCAGCCATGGACGCCTGAACCGCAGAGATAAAGGTGTGGACCAACCAACCTACCTACCTACCTACCTACCTACCTACCTACCTTCCTTCCTTCCTTCCTTCTTCCCTCCCTCCCTCCTTCTTTCCCTTTCTTTCTTTCTTTTTTTTTTTTTTTTTTGTATCTGTTCGCTGGTCTCTCGCTGTCTGTGTACCTCTATTCTGGTGACTACACGGGGTGCCTAAGCGAGTGGACACCCCATCCCCACTCCCACCCCCAGAGGGTTCTATTAAACATGTGCACAGATCTCCTCAAAATTTAAAGGGACAATTTCCTCTTAAAACCAAACGGCAGTACAAAACGGCCACAACTGGCCATGAACTGCTTATCATCAGGAAAAAGGCCTGAACAGGGGTTGTGGAGTGGGACTGGCAGACTAAGAAGGAAAGAGGCTGAAAATTAAATGCTGAGTTATATCATAATGACCAACAGTGGCATCTTGAAATTTCTCAGGAAGAAGAGTGAAAAGGGAAACCCATCTTCTGGTCACATCTACCTGGAGGCAATCAGAAACCATAAAAATTACCAAAACACACACCCATCTAAGTATTAAGGCCACAACTAACTACTGAATATGCCCAAAAAATGGACACAGATGACCATATCAGCACATGTCCAGAAATGAGATAAAGGGACTGACACAAATGATCTTGAGATAGACCTACACTCCATACTGGAAGGAGGGCAGGCTTTGGAAATGCCTGAGAAAGAATTCAGAAAAATGGTTATAAAATGTATCAAAACACTATGCAATGGAGTTGAGAAAAATAAGGAAGAAGTCAGGAAAGTGCTAAACGAACAATCAAATAAGATAGATAACAGCATTGGAAACAATTCAAAACTGACAGAAAGAGGTCCAAAGGATTAATAATAGAATATCAGAAACGAACAATACACTGAAAGGGCAAAGGACTTGAATTGAAGAGAGGGAAGCCAAAACTAGTGAGCTCGAAGATAAATCTCTCAACACTACTAAGATAGAAAAGCAAGCACAAAAAAGGATGAAAAAATCTGAAAAAGACCTAAAATTCATGTTGGACAAAATGAAGTAGAATAACTTAAAGAATTATCAGCATTCCAGAACAGGAAGAATCACACAAATCCACAGAGGAGATAGTGGAAGAGCTGCTGGAAGAAAATTTCCCTAACATCCTGAAAAATGAAAAGATAAGCATTCAAGAAGTTCAACAAACCCCAGGAAGGGCAGACCCCAAAAGAAAATCACCAAAACATATAATAATCAAGCTCTCCAAATTCAAAGATAAGGACAGAATCCTGAAAGCAGCTAGGGAAGAGAGAAGTGTAACACACAAAGGCAAGTAAATCAGATTAAGCTCGGGTCTCTCAACAGAAACCATGCAGGCAAAAAGGCAATGGGGAGACATATATAAAACCCTGAAAGAAAAAAAGTGCCAACCAAGAATCCTTTACCCAACAAAACTGTCAATCAAAAACCAAGGTGTAATCAAAACATTCCAGGATAAGCAGGAGCTAACGGATTTTGCCAAAGCCAACCATGCTATGAAAAACATCCTAAAGGGAATTCTGTGGACTGAGAACCAACAAGAACAGAAAACAACCAGAGATTAATGCACATGGCAGTATCACCCAGAAGTCAATCAACAAATGGAAGAGTTGAGAACAAAATAAAACTATAAGATCAAATTCAGAGGATCTAGGAGGTCAGTCTATGATCAAAACAATTACAATGTAAAAGAAGGTAAACACAAAGGAACAGAGATCCAGGTGGTAAGAAGGTCAAGTAGATTACAGGATAAAGTAAACTGTCTTAAATGCAGGGAAAAGTCAATGGAATATAAGGTAACTAAAACGTTATGGTTCGGGTAGGGAGTTTAGGGAGAGGTGGAGGGAGGTGACAGTAGAGCACATCATAGTTCGGGTGTTGTGGAGGGCAATAAAAGAAGGGGAAGAAGGTGGAAGAACAAGGTAGATAGGGGAACACTGAGACAGGTTTGCATAGCCTAAGTGGGACAGAGGTAAATAGTGATGCATGCTCAACCTTGGAACAACAGGGCTCTGTGATACAGGGATCTAGACATAGTTTGAAGAGGGGAAATAATACTAAGATGCTTGACTGTCTTACGAATATTGGTTTCCCTTGCCTACTATTGTAAAATAGACACTTGAGTAGGATAGGAAGGAATGTTGGGAAACATGATTACAGAAAACTTGTAAGCCCGTCTTCAGACTATAACTGACTGGAATACCTAAAAGGGGTTTTAGAACGTGCCCAGTGAAACAGGCCTCTTGCGGAGACTTTGCAGAATATAGGACCTTAGGTGGGATCCTGAGTCCCATCCAGAACCTTTTGAGGTGGGACATCCCCACTAGAAAGGACAAGCAGAC